GGTCCGTGTGTGTGCATGTACTAGTGTGTGGTCCGTGCGTGTGCATGTATTGGTGTGTGGTCCGTGCGTGTGCATGTATTAGTGTGTGGTCCGTGCGTGTGCATGTATTGATGTGTGGTCCGTGTGTGTGGATGTATTAGTGTGTGCTTCGTGCGTGTGAAGGGGGCGGTCGGGTAGCCTAGTGGTTAAAGCGTTCGCTCGTCACGCCGAAGACCCGGGTTCGATTCCCGACATGGGTACAATGTGTGAAGCCCATTTCTGGTGTCCCCCGCCGTGATATTGCTGGAATATTGCTAAAAGCGGCGTAAAACAATACTCACTCACTCACTCGTGCGTGTGAATGTATTGGTGTGTGGTCCGTGCGTGTGCATGTATATAGTATATGGTCCGTGTGGATGTATGTTTGATGTGTGGTTCATGTGTGTGCATGTATTGGTGTGTGGCCCGTGTGAATGCATGTATTGATGCTTAAAGTATATATGGTTCGTGTGTGTGTATGTGTGTGTGCGCGCGCGTGCGTGCGTGCGTGTGTGCATGCATGTATATATAGTATGTGGTTGTGTGGAACAAAGCCGCACAGACTAAAATAACAGAACATGAAACTGCTCATCGGCACACATGTCTGCGAGATCACCTGAATTAAACAGATTTAGTAAAATTCATAGTAAGTTAGTACAACATAGACTGTGGAATATGTGTAACTGTTTGATTGGCATTCTAGAAGTAGGCAAGATAAGTAAGAAAAACGTACAACTTTGCATACACTGGTTTATTGGCAGTCTCTGCATCGCATTTTTGTTTGTTTGTTTGTTTGTTTGTTTGTTTGATGTTAAACGCCGCACTCAGCATTATTTCAGCTATATGATTGCGGTCTGTATATAATCGAGTCTGGACCAGACAATCCAGTGATTGATATCATGAACATCGATCCAAGCAATTGGGATACAATGACGTGCATCAACCAAGTCAGTAAGCCTGACCACCCGATCCAGTTAGGCGCCTCTTATACGACAAGCATAGTCGCCTTTTACGGCAAGCATGGGTTGCTGAAGACTTATTCTACCCCGGATCTTCACGGGGAGACAAGCATGGGTTGCTGAAGACTTATTCTACCCCGGATCTTCACGGGGAGACAAGCATGGGTTGCTGAAGACTTATTCTATCCCGGATCTTCACGGGGAGACAAGCATGGGTTGCTGAAGACTTATTCTACCCCGGATCTTCACGGGGAGACAAGCATGGGTTGCTGAAGACTTAATCTACCCCGGATCTTCACGGGGAGACAAGCATGGGTTGCTGAAGACTTATTCTACCCCGGATCTTCACGGGGAGACAAGCATGGGTTGCTGAAGACTTATTCTACCCCGGATCTTCACGGGGAGACAAGCATGGGTTGCTGAAGACTTATTCTACCCCGGATCTTCACGGGGAGACAAGCATGGGTTGCTGAAGACTTATTCTACCCCGGATCTTCACGGGTCCTCCCTGGTTTTACCAAGTGGATCACTGAGTGTTGCAGGAGTGAGTCTGATGAGTGTGTGTTGTTTTGCGTATATTTATGGTCATGAACTGCTAAACAGAGTATGTAATCAGTGCAGTAATGTTCCATATACCCTTGTTCCTAATCATGTGTACTGTCAGTTGTTGTATCAAATATAATATTTCAGATAACATAAATGGGAGTTTTGCCCTTTCTGTCTGAACTGGATTTAGTGCATGTTTATTTCAAAATTTAGTCGTATCATTTACATACAAATGGATATTCAAGAAATAAACGACGAGTGGGAGTTGTTTATCGTACAATAAAACCCTGCCTACATTGTTTTATTTTAAGATAAACAACGATCACGAGCCTTTTATTTTTTATATGAGATATCAATATTACTCTTTTAGGATGTTAGTAAAAACTAAACGCTTTAAACATATAAACCCGTATTAAATAATGATGACTCTCTGAATAGAATCCGACTGGCAGGTCCATTTAACAGGTGGGTAATTAAATTTAGTATTTCCCGCGTATGAGGTAACTGTATTGTTTTCTTGGTACTTGTTGTTACCCTGTCTGGCGCTCGGCATTAAGGGGCTAAAACAAGGACTGGTCGGCTCGGAGTCAGTATACTGTGTCTGAGTGGGGTATTCATGTTAAACTGCGGCATGGTATCTCAGTGAGCTAGCACTATAAATCGGCATCAGTCCGGACTAGTACAAGCAGCCACACAAACACACACACGTACATGCACGTCGCTATATAAGTGCAATAATCTTGGACGCGACGTTAAACCCAATTTCACCTCACCTAACCTGTATTGTTTTCTTTATTTAGAGATATATCTTATCATTTCTTAGTGGTTAACAGGTTAACCGCCCGTCCTCTATATCTCCAGGACTCCTATTTCGTTAAACATTCTCTAACATGGTTAACTGACAACAACCCGAAGTATTAAAGAGCAAGATTCTGGAGTATTTAACTGAACAAATGTATCAGATTTGATTTTATTTTTGTTTGTTTGTTGTTTAACGCCCCATTCAGCAATATTACAGCTATATGACGGCGGTCTGTAAATAATCAAGTCTGGACCAGACTATCCATTGATTGAAATTATATTAGCATCGATCCATGCAATTAGGATCGATGACATGCATCAACCAAGTCAGCGAGCCTGACCATCCGACCCCGTTAGTGTCCTCTTACAACAAGCGTAGTCGCTTTTTACGGCAAGACCTATATTCTACCCCGGATCTTCACGGGTCAAAAAGGTTTTAGAGAACATCTGTCATATCTGGTGCCCATTTGTCAAGAAGGAAAAGATGAATTTAGTTAACCCAACCATTAAATTCTATTAATAAAAGATGAAAGAAAAAAGACACATTCTGTTAGAGTAAGTGTGTTTATTCATGTATGGGAGGCCATAGGCCCATGTACATTTCAGTTATATATAGTAATATACAATTGAGACAATTTACATTGCAAACAATCTTAAGGGTATAATATTAGGACTTGGTACGTAATAATAGGGCTTCCTTCACATACTTAGCTACATTTCTGAGTATACAGTCATTTTTGCTATTTAAGAGATTACTAAAAGTCTTAATACATGGATTGTTATAGAATCTTACAGGAATATACTTTTGTCTTATTGTTGCGTAAAACGGGCAGACAAACACAAAATGGACTTCGTCCTCAATACAACCATTGTTACATAGCCGACAAAAGCGTTGTGAAGAATCAATATGCTCTCTTCTGCCCAGATTACTCCGTATAGGCAATTCACTTAATCGCAACAGGCGCATCATACGTCTATGGTCTCTATTTCTGAAAGCTGTAACATAATATTCCATATCCAATAATATCTTGACGTGTGAATAATACCTTAATTTACGAGACTCATAAATTTTCATCTGTATACTCTGTTTGTTGCAATCCAACAAACGTTGTCTAAATAGCTGCAAGAAACACTTAACATCACCAATATTCTGTTCGTACCACACATTACCAAATCCATATATGTCGAGTAAATATTTAACATGAGTTGCCCAAGTAATTCTACCACATTCATCCAGCTTCTTCATTAACAAATAACACTGTCGGGGATATCTTTCATCATTCATTCTAATCAGTTTACACCAGTATTTAACACACTTCATATGATAATCCACATGCAAACCATTTCTTCCACATTCAGCTAATATTGCCGTACTTGATACATATTTACCAACTCCTAAAACAAATTTACAAAACTTAGTATGAAAAGTTTCGACAATTTGACTACCTTTGCAGCCCCAGATCTCAGCACCATAAAGAAGAATGGGCTTTATCTTAATATCAAACAATTTAAATAAAATGTTAACTGGCATATTTACAAAGTGAAATTGCAATTGTTTAATGGCAAACAAAGCCTTATTGGCTTTTATCTTGAGAGTATCAATGCATTTAGTCCAAGACAATCTATTTGAAAACAGAACACCCAGATAACTATAGTAAGTACTTACATTTATACGTTTATCATTAAAAAACCATCGTTCATCATACCTTAAAGTACCACCTCTTCTGAAAACCAAAATTTTGGTTTTAGACATGTTAATTTCAAGTCCCCATTCTGTTATGTGGAGAACATCCCTGGTTTATCAAACTTAATATACATCCCTACTTTGAGACTTTGACAAAACATTCGTCTGTGAAAATACTTCAAAAACAATCTCACAAAAATCAGATTTTGTTATGAAATATGTTCTATGTAGATGCACGTGCGTCAAGCTCGGGCCCTAGCTGATCTTTACAATACATGGTACAGGGCTGCCTTCTGTTTTGTGCGGCCCTGAATGGGTATTTTGTATCGCTTGCATGTTTTCAAAACATGCTCACGTGGATTAATGGGAATCTCGAGCACTGAACAAGCATATATATGTTTATATGTTTTCCCATGGAAGGTGTATTTATTTACTTGAACACGGACATCGTTTTCAGGTAACACCATGGAACACATTACACAAAATATTTACTAAACGTTTCAGGATTATACAAATATTAAAAATATCTAGATCTAATTGTTAATTTCACACCACTTGTCATGTGCTGCTGTAGCCGAGGTCGATTTACATGAACACAAATCATACGGTGCGGGTTCGAGCCTCGCTGACGACACGTGTTTTCCGACAAAATTTGAAATATTCACTTTTAAATTGTCCAAAGATCGAGTTCCGTAAATTCCAAGTGTGAATTCAAAGGTGGGGTCACGATAATGTACGTAGGCATGAATATCTGACAACCGAATTGTCCATACGTAAATTATATTGAATCATTTGGATCAGAGTAACGGAACAGACGTGTTTTAATGTGTGAGATAAACTGTATTTTCATTTTTCAGTGCTAAGAGAGTAGAGGGACCGGCCTAACGCGTGTGTCGTGAAAGGGGAGGTAATCATGTCTTACCGTGAAAGTAACAACCGCCAATCAGCGGTCGGCTTTCTGGTCAAACAAGCCAATCATAGTGCTTCTTTCATTCACATCACCGCTTGTGGAAGGAAATTCAAAATCAAGGAAGGCTTACCTCTGATGAGCCGTCAGTCGTGAAAGAAAACAACAAACATGGAAACACAGGTACTATGTTGTTCTTTGCTAACAGTCATTACGAGGATGAGCATCGGCAGTCGTACATGTTACTCAGGATCTTGGGGCCATTGCGATTGTCTCGTCGACAGCTGTACAGTGTGCTGAAGTCTGACTGATGCACATTAGGCGCCGATGTTTTGTGTTGAATTTAGTCGTTTATTTAACTTTGTCAGTGCCACTTGTGTATAGATAACTTACACATGATTGCTGACAGTGTCTGGAACCTAATGATAGATTCACGGAAGACCATATACGACAATACTAAGACTAATATGACCAGCTGATGACTTGTCAACCTGTTGACGTGTTGTGAAATCTTTTCTATAAGTTTCAAATATATTTTCAACAAATGACACAATGTTCAATGGTGAAATGCTTTCGTTTTAGTTTTATTCAATAAAATGAAAGCATAACAACTAACTTGTAATTGGAAACAGGATTTTGCAGTGACACCAAGAAAGATTACTTACAGCCCATTGGGTAGTAGGCCTTGTGCATAATTTTATTGGGCACACTTTTTTCGGATTTCAATTAGCGCAGCTTTGAGGCTCGAACCACAGGACCATTTAACTAATAGGCCTAATAATTATAAACAAATTTGCAAAACAACTCGTAGACAAGGCTGCACTGTTTGATTTGTGGAACTAAGATCTGATTTTAATATGATTGATGAAGGGGATGTGTAGGAAAACTTATTGCCCCTACCATGGATTATCTTCTTAGTTCTTGATCCTTCAACTGAATTATCATAGACAATCGGTGTAGCTTAGTTTTTCACATCGTAGACTGATTGGAATTTTAATAGCCTAGTCCATCAGTCTAACATTAATTTTGCACTCTGATTTTGGTGGGATATTTGCTGTTTCAGCTTGGTCAAAGTTCAAAATGTTTAAATCCAACATGCCGATCTTGCCAGAAACACTGCTAAAGTTACAGATTTATTTTTCAGCGGAAACCATTATCGACAAAAAACATTGGCGGCAGCAAGTTGCCAATGCCAGGGAGCCGCCTCAAACCCCCGCAGTCTGTGAGTGTGAAGCGATCTCGCAGCTCAGAAGAGGACAGTGCTGTTGTAAGGATTTTGTTTTTCGCTTTACCATGTTTATTTGACAATACTTGCAAAATGAGGATTACATGGTCAATGAGTTAGCACTTCCTCGATGCATTGAAAGTTGCAAAGGCAAGTTCATGTAACAAAAATATAGTGGACCTTTCAATATTGTTACGTGTTGATTCCCAAATTGAACAAGATGTTATTGTTAACCCAGAAATCTGTACGTAAAAGAAATTTGTGTGAAACCAAAAAACAACCATCAATTGGTATACAATTAACAATTGTACTACAAAATTAACTAGGTTTACATATCAACAGAAATAACTGCCCAGCAATTACAATGGCAGCACACAAAAGAGCGGAAGTACAATATTCAATGACAGCACACAAAAGAGTGGTGGTACAATATTCAATGACAGCACACAAAAGAGTGGTGGTACAATATTCAATGGCAGCACACAATAGAGTGGTGGTACAATATTCAATGACATAATGTAACATGATGGCAGTGATCAGTATCAAATACACAAATACACTGTGATACACACACAAGCTGGTCTTAATGTGCTGAAATGTGTGAGATCTGCGTAAAAAGGCTCTTGTCTCCTTATATACTACCTACACAGTGCCCTCTAGACACAGAATATTCTACCTGTTTCTATAACAGACTATCACCATCCGTAGTAGTGAGTGAGTTGGGTTTAACGCCGCTTTTAACAGTATTACAGTCATATCGCGGCGTGTCAGCTTAATGTGGGAGGAAAGCCCGAAGTGATGCAGGTTTCAGACGTTTACCACTTCGGTGAAACCCACGAGCACGGGTATGGCGCTGACAAACCTAGAAACATAATTGGGGCGAACCGGGATTCGAACCCACAATCATAGGTTTCTGGCGTGCCTAAGGGACGCAACTCTGCACAGCGAATCGCGGCGCCTTAGGCGACTGGGCCACCCGTGCCCCCCCATCCGTAGTAAAGAAGACTGGAAGTTTACACACCGATCTAGATCTAAATATCGTTACTCCCTGACGACTGATCGCATTAATAGTACTACATTCCTGACGCTATACACTGCCAAAATACAATGCAGTGAGAGTCAACCAAATCTCAACAGAAACAATATAAAACAGTTACAATCGTTGTTCAACGCTAAAATACTCTGCCATGTAACAATCGGCGGTAGAAAGTAACATTTTTAGTCCAATAGTCCTTACAATGATAACAAAGCATCAACCTTGAAAATGGCAAATATCTACTAGTCCTTAAGCATGTTAAGATACCTAAACTATTGGGCAGTTTGGCAAGGACTGCCAATTTCTAATGCTGACAATACTTATCTATAGTCTAAGAGAGGCAGCTATGCATTAAACATGTTAAACGATAAGTTTGGTCAGTTGTAAATGTATTTGCAAAGGTAATCAGGTTAGGTGCGACGTCATTCAGCTAAGTTATCAAAGTCACCTGGCTGCTTCTATCGCCAGTTCCAACTCTGAATCCCATTCACATCTAATGTTTTTATAGGTTTCCAATCCAAACCCAGGGAAAAAGTTCCGTTCCGAGGCCCCTCCTGCGAAGATGAGTCGTAGCGTGTCGGTGTCCTCCCTCAACTCCACCCGGCCAACGCGGCCTGCTAACAACGCAATGGTGAAGACACAGAGACGTCCCCCCCAACGGCCAGCTGGTATGTCGGTGTCATTCATACAGTCCAGTTTCTAAAATTTACAAATATTTTGAAGAACCGGGGTAGAAAAGGTCTACAGCAACCCATGCTTGCCGTAAAAGGTGACTATGCTTGTTGTAAGAGGCAACTAACAGGATCGGGTGGTCAGACTCGCTGACTTGGTTGATGCATGTCATTGATCCCAATTGCGTGGATCGATGCTCATGTTGTCAATCACTGTATTGTCTGGTCAAGATTCGATTGTTTACAGACCACTGTCATATAGCTGGAATATTGCTGAGTCAGGCATTAAACAACAAACAACCAAACACAAATATTTTACCAGTCATTCAGTACAAAAATGTAAAACTAAGCGTGTAAGCCTTTTTATCATCTATGTTGAAATAATAACCAAATATATACTTCATGGCAACATAGGCAAGTTAACATGAAAGTTGTATTCCGTATTAAGTTAGTATAATAATCTATAACACTACTTTCACTTTCATGCCTGTTGGCAAAGGTGGCCCATTAGAGTAATGGGTTGTGCTTCGCTCTTCAGAGTTGTGTCCCTGAGCCATGCCAGATTTGAATCCCAGCTTTGCCATGATTATGATCACTGGAATGTCAACGCCATACCCAAGCTCATGTATTTCAAGACAGTGATTCACACATTGGCAAAGTAGACCTACAACCAGTGTTCAAAATAAATGCCCAGAGCTCCAGATAAGCTTTTGGTTTTGTGGGTATTTTACCCATGCATTTTAAAATCATTGGGTATCAGTAATTCTATCTGGGGATTCAAATTTCTGTTACCCACTAGTTTTTACACATGTGGGTATTTAAGTTAAATATTTAAAAACACTATTCATCTAGTCCCTGCAAACTGGTGTCGTGTGGGTTTGAGAGCTTTATAGGACTCAAAAATACCACGATACTTCCACAAGAAAGTGTGATGTCAAATGATCACGATGTAACTGTCATCGTGGAGTTTGGCAAGGTTGACGGAATGCCCGTTTATAATTTCAAAATAAGTTACTGAATTACTAATCAAATACGCAGGGTTACTTCACAATATTTTGATGATACGCACAAGTTCTATTTTTGTAGCGTATTTGTAATGTTTGTTGCGTATTTGATACACTTTGATTTTATTTTACTGCATATTTCTGATGCGTATTTTACGCAGATACGCAGCTCATCTGGAGCTCTGAATGCCTGTCTGTAGGCCTATGGCAGGTAGATCTTGTGTCGGGTCCGTAGTTTCCTTGTATGGGTCCTTATGGTCTGCAGTAAATTTACTTGACGATTTATTTGTCACAATAAAGTGCAGTTTTTTTATATGAGGGCCTGTAGAGTTTAGTCAGGGCCTGCAGCTTCTCAAGTCTGTGGGTCCTGATGGCATCCTGGCAATATATTTTACTTTGGTAATTCCTCCCACATTGAGAAGACACTGTAGTGTAACTGAAATGCTGTATATGCAGCGTTAAAGCCAACCCCATGTTGAATGATTTGAAACAAGTTCGTGGATACTAGATACTCAATAACATCTGCTATTTATCGCATTACTAAAAAATGTTTTAGATGTATAAAACGGTTCTAAACATAGGCTTAACTCGGAAAGGAACTTAGCTCGTAATTGTGTTTCGGAAATTAGCTCCGTTGTATGCATGCTGAAAAAGCTTCATTGGGTGTTTACGCATGTTGTTTTTATACATTCGAGTTTTTCATTTAACATGTTTAATGCATGCGTTTCTGTATGCAAGTTAATTGAAAGTAATTGGGTTTTGGATATTTTGGAGGGGTATGTTACGCAAATGCGCAGCTTATCTGTAGCTCTGATTACTGATTCTGTTGTTTGTATTGTCAGGTGCAAACTTGTCTGTCACGATATCAGGCATGCCCAGCAAGAGTGCCCCGCCCAAGAAGCCTCCCCCAGGACCCACCGTGCCCAAGGCAGCTGCTGCAGGTCAGTAGACTGACTGTCCATCCAATAGACTACACTGGAAGATCCAGGGTAGAATATGTCTTCAGCAACCCATTCTTGTCGTAAAAGGCGGCTATGCTTGTTGTGAGAGGCGACTAACAGGATCGGGTGGTCAGTCTCGCTGACTTGGTTGATGCATGTCATCATATCCCAATTACGAAGATCAATGTTCATGATATCAATCAGTGAACAACAAAAAAACAAGACTGCACTGAAGATGGCAGTCTGCCTTTGAGAAGTGTTCAGTGACAGTGCTAGTGGTAGAGCATCCTCACAGAGAGGGGAAGGTTGGGGTTTTGATTTCCGGCCAAGTCATACCAAATGACGTTAAAGGATGGTATCTGTTTTTACTCGGCACTTGGCATTAAGTGGCTAAAATGAGCATGGTCGGCTCGGAGTCAGTATACTGTCTCTGAGTGGGGTATTCATGTGAAACTGTGGCATGGTATCTCAGTGGGCTAGCACTTTAAAATAAGCATTAGTCTGACGAGTAGGAGCAGCCACACACACACATATGCATGCATGTTGCTATGTATGTGCAACAATTTGTTCGTGACGTTAAACCCCTTTTCACCTCACCTCTTGAGGTCTACTCACATTATTCAATCCTTGGCCCCCTAAATCTTGAACTTTTAGCATAAGGGGAATGACAAGAACCCTCTGACTTTCATGCTTAATTTCGGACAGGGTATCATTGCCCAAATTTTGTCCTAATGCATCATTTTAATTACAGTAAACTACAGTTATAACGAACACGCTTATAACGAACTGACGGATATAACGAACTTACTTTTTGGTCCCGGCTATTTGCTGTTGTTATACCATGTATACTGTATATATACTTATAACGAACTACGGTTATAACGAACTAAAATTAGTAGTCCCTTTGAGTTCGTTATAACCGTACTTTACTGTACATTTGTGTTGTAACGTAGGAATCGTTTGTTAACTTTGATAACCAAGATCTCTTGACAGAAATCTGTCTTCTTATAATACTTGTATATAGAAGACTTCACTGGGTTTCAGATCGGTCCATTTTGTAGGACATGGATTGGTTGCCGTTCAAAGTATTTTTCAAATTTGGTAAACATGTACAAATTTGTCTCAACAAAATTTGAATTTTTTGAAAATGCACCAAGGCATTTGGTCATGTTGGTTCTATATCAAAATCGCTGCAAAGATATAGAACCTGGTCCCGAGCTGTGTGACTTAAGGAGTGTGTGTGTGTGTGTGTTGTAGGCGGTAAGAAGCGAGCAGCATGGGATCTAAAGGGGCGGCTCCAGGACATGGAGCAAGTGCTGCAGCACCGCGACCAGGTGAGCTCCACGCTCCAGGTCCAACTGGAGAGCTACAACAACAGAATCAACACGCTGGAGTCCCAGAACACCCAGCTGAGTGGCACTGTGGCAGAGAAGGAGCAGCTGTCTACCGAGGTCTACAAGGAGAATCAGGAGGTCATCCGCAAACTCAGGTACAGTGAAAATGCGTGGCACATGTCAATAGCTATATTGTTCATCTAGAATTTGAGTCATAGCTCATACTGAGAATCTCACCCGAGTGTCTTTTGATATCAAATATATCAACACAAGTTGTTAAAAGTGGAAAACTCTCAGGCTTATCAAGTTTTATCAAGATTCAACAGCAGCGAACATGCATCGCCTCATCTCAGTCTGAGATGGGTTTTGTTCGCCAAGAATCAGCTACCAGGTCAGCCAGACTGACAGTTTCACGTCCCTCCACTCACATCCATCCTTGGATTAGAGGACTTGCCACTATGCCCAGTTCAAACATTACATATCTATCTGCAGAAGACAATGTTGAGAAGATATAGGAATAGTTCAGCAGAAGTCTGCAGAACACCCATCTTCTTCTGGATGAGAGCAGTTATCCTTAGAGCCTGCAAGGCAGCGGGACTGAATCCACCATCAGCATCCCATCCGCAAGAAGTGAGACCTTAGCATCTACTCTAGCGCTTCAGGGCAACTGCTCCATCACAGCGATTGTGGAAGATTGTTTCTGCAGACCAGACTCTGTCTTTGCTAAACATTACCTCAGAGACTTCTCCACACAAGATGTTGCTTGAATTCATCAGTTTGGACCATTAGTAGTTGCACAACAACTGACAGAGCCTACTAGAAGATAGATCTTCCTACAAGTACTCACCCACTATCACACAGACTTGCTGACGTCAGGTCACTGCCCCATAACCAAGGACCGAGAGTCCATGTCTCCTGGTTTGCTATGTAATTCAGACCATGAGTGAAAATGATTTATTTAAGTTTATGACCTTCTCTTAACACTATAATCATTTAAAGTAGGCAGGAAAAATTATTTTCCTTACTGAACTTACTAAATTCACCAAAGCTATAGGATTTATTCCTCTATTTCGCAAGGAGGTGGATATAAATAAAAGATTATCACTTTCCCAAGGGTATATTTGAACAGATAAGATATGTATTTTTTAGAGTAAAATACATTTATACTTATTTGACTTCTTCCCCTGTGTTTGGTCATACGGTAAAGGTCATGAGAGAGTGACGCACATACCGGCTTGGTCACATGTTCCCAGTGAGCATGTGAAGGCCAGGATGCTTTCGGGAGAGCTGTTTTTCTGTTCTCCAGAAACAGTTCAGGAAGTTTCCACTACCTTTCGGAAATAGAGAGAGATAGCCAATTAGTATGGATAAGTAGAAATGATAGTTTTACTCTAAAAAGTACATTTTGATAAAATAAACAACTGAATATTCTGTCAACCACACGTTTGCAGGCAGCCGCCTGAAAGGTGGAATAATGTTGATTGTGGCGTAAGATAAACTGCATGTTTTACAAAAACCGACATTAACGTGAGTGGTAATACGACACTACTGTTGTGTTGCATGTTGCAGAGCCACTCAGGATGAATTGGATGACATGAAACGCAAGTTTCAGCGTGAGATCGAGGACCTTAACTTCAGCAAGTCATCTCTGCAGAGACAGAAGGAGAACCTTGAGGGTGAGGTCTCCGCTTACCAGAAGGAAGTCTCAGGGCTCAAGTCTTCCATTGCCGAGGTTTCTTCCGCACAGGCCAAGATTGGGGCAGAACTTGAAGCCACCAAGGTAATCCAATTTCATTCTCTCTTTCAGTCAGAGATAAGTCTGACTTGGGATCTTTGAAGATGTTTAAGTATTTGGAAGAAATTGCTGATTTTTAAAATATATTTATCATCCCAAACTGGCTCACATATGAGATATTGCTTGGGTGATATCAAGCGATATCAACATTGTAGATATCATTGCAATGAAATTGCGTCACGATGCTTTGCAGACCATTGTGACGTCATTGTTTACCATCAAATGACATTACTAATGGCTCTGCTACTGAAGCTGTTAGCAGTAGTTTTGGCACTTAAGATACTGCTAATTACTGTCTACAAACTGAAAAAGTTGGATGATAAATAAAATCTCACCCTCGTGTCTTATGATATCAAATATATAATTCAAGCCTCGGAATTTTTTCCTCTTTTATCAACTTGCGTTGATATATTTGATATCAAAAGACACACGAGTGAGATTCTCTATGTAATACCCACATACAAAATATAATTTATATTGTCAAACTATTGAATCTTGTTTAATGTTTTCAATGGCTTGAGCTGCATGTGAGGTTTTTGGGGTCACTAGATTCCTCAATGGTGTTTTTCAGCTGGGTTTAAGTCAGAGTGAGGCTCGTGGTCGAGGCAAAGACACAGAAATAAGTCGATTAAACAGTGTGGTAGCAGAACTGGAGCGGGTCATCGAGGAACAGAACCGACAGAAGAGAGAACACGAGACAGAACGGCGGAAACTCCACAACCTGGTGCAAGAGCTGAAGGTCTTGTTATATGGCTTGTTCATTGTTTATAACTTAGTGATAAGGGTAGATGAAGATGCAGCAGTCATTTGTATGCATGGATATAGCCGTCATCATTTCAGAGATGAAGTGAATCAATGTGCTTTATCTCAATCACTTCCTGTAGTGGCTATGGATCTCACTCACTCACTCACTCACTCACTCACTCACTCACTCACTCACTCACTCACTCACTCACTCACTCACTCACTCACTCACTCACTCACTCACTCACTCGACCGCCTCCGTGGTCTTGTGGTAGAGCGTCCGCCCGGAGAGCGGAAGGTCCAGGGTTCGATCCCGGGCCGCGTCATACAAAAAGACGTTAAAAGATTGTACTTGTTGTTACCCTGTCTGGCGCTCGGCATTAAGGGGCTAAAACAAGGACTGGTCGGCTCGGAGTCAGTATACTGTGTCTGAGTGGGGTATTCATGTTAAACTGCGGCATGGTATCTCAGTGAGCTAGCACTATAAATCGGCATCAGTCCGGACTAGTACAAGCAGCCACACACACACATACACGTGCATGCACATCGCTATATAAGTGCAATAATCTTGGACGCGACGTTAAACCCAATTTCACCTCACCTCACTCACCTCACTCACCTCACTCACTCACTTCTTCCTATCCCTGCAGGGCAACATCCGCGTGTTCTGCCGAGTCCGGCCGTTACTAGGAGATGAAACTATTGCCAGCGACGGAGTCATCCACCATATGAACTTCCCCGACCTCGATGGGAGGGTCATGGAGCTGGAGAAACTAGGCGACGCCTCCCTCAATGAGGTCAGTAAATGGTCATCATTCAGTATGTGTGAGTCAATCTCTAGTGTTTATTTTTGGAGATGAGGTTAGATGTATTAACCTGTTAACTGACTAAGATTCACATTCCAAAACCTTTAAGGGCAAGTATTTTCCAAGTCATGTAGGGCATTGAACTATGCAGAGTTGTGTCCCTTAGGTGTCTGAAACCTATGATCATAGGTTCAAGTCCCAGATCGACCTGATTATGTTTCTTGGTTTGTTGGCTCCCTACCTGTGCTGTGCTCTGGTGCGCTGTGATATAACTGAAATATGTTTGAAGCAGTATTAAAGCCAAACTCATGCTTAAGTATTTGAGTTAATCTGTCCAAATGAAACATAACAGGGGGGTTAGTTCAAGTTGCGCAGTGATAGCAAATAGGTGTGTCACGATAGATCGAAATATGGATATATTGCTATTGGTAAGCACTTAAAGTCAATAAATCGATTGTTAAATCATTTTCGGATCAATAGTATCGATTTAAGTTAGGAATATAGATAGTTTTGATTGTATTTACCATATGCGATTGAGTCAAATGCTGTTCAAATTTGTTTTTCTTTTGATCATGAGTGGTAGTAATTAAAACATAGTAATGTGGAAGTTTCTTTTTCTTAAATTATTACCGTAAAGAAAAAACAAATCAGTCATATCTCAAACTTTACTTTTTATTTGTTGTTATGGTAATCAAATTCAAAGGAAGCATCAATTCCAAGGTTCAATTCAACTCTAAAATCCATCTAAAATGATACACTGAAAACTATCGATATTTATCGCAATAGTTGCTTGCAATATCAATAGTTATTGCAATAGTGATTTCCAGACCAATAGTCACCCCTAATAACAAAGTCAGATGACCTCCTTAATCATTGCAAGGTTTGTTAAGAAAATACTCCTGTGAACGAGTTCATGTAGATTTGATCGGAGCATGCAGACGGGCGTTTATTTTTGAGATTGATGATGTGTTTCAGAGTTCACTAGCAGCATCTCGCCGGGGTCAGAATAAGTACGACTTTACGTTTGACAAAGTGTTCCAGCCGGAAACCACACAGTCACAGGTGTTTGAGGAAATAGCACAGTTGGTACAGGTAATGATGTCACATGGCAGCAGCCTCTCCGGTGTTTGTTACAACACAACGCTGGCCATTATAACCATTCAGATTTCTTTTTACATTGTATATTATTATTACATTCAAACTAAGCATTAAGCCTCTTCCTCTTCATGTGTCCTGGTATCAGTGAAGTACAAGTCAACCGACATATTTGGGAATGGGTTAATCCCTGAGATACCAGGGATTTATGACAGCACAAATACAGTTCATGCACACAAACGTTTTGTTTGTTTCAGAGTGCACTGGATGGCTACAATGTGTGCATCTTCGCGTACGGCCAGACAGGGTCAGGGAAGACCTACACGATGGAGGGAGGCAGTGTAGATGATGACCTGACGATGGGCATGATTCCCCGGGCGGTGCAGCAAGTCTTCAGCACGGCCCGGGACCTGGAGGAGAAAGGCTGGCAGGTACGTACAGTTGTTGTACTATGAACAGACTTGTACTGCAGACAGCTAGACTAGTGTCTTGCTTATCATCCAAAACTGGCTCCCACAGGAGATATTGCTTGGGTGAAATCAAGCAATATCTACATTGTAGATATTGCTGCAATGAAATTGCCTCAAAATGCACACTGCATTTTTGACATCACTAATGGCTCTGCTACTGAAGCTGTTAGCAGTATCTTTTACACATCAGGCACTGCTTATTACTGTCTACAAACTGAAAAGGTTGGCAAAGTGATGTTGGATGATAAATAAAATCTCACCCTCGTGTCTTTTGATATCAAATATATCAACACTCGTTGATAAAAGTGGAAAAACTCCTCGGCAAGCCTTGGAGTTAGTCTGGGTTAGAAAAGGTCTTCAGCACCCAATGCTCGTAAGAGGAGACAGTGTTGAGTGGTCAGGCTCTCTGACTTGGTTGATGCATGTCATCGTATCCCAAATGTGTGGATCGATGCTCATGTCAATCACTGGATTGTCTGGTCCAGAATCGAATATTTACAGACCACTGTCATAGAGCTGAAATATTGCTGAGTGCTTAAGAAAAAGCTTCCGACTAAATGTTTGACCATGTTTACAGATGCAACAAAACGTATGCTCACCTGTATTTGTAAGAAGTAGTGTTTTATTGTTTAATTCAAGAGATTTATTCATGAAACTATATTGTGACAGCAGTAGCCCTATAACCACACGGGGACGGTGGGGTAGCCTTGTTGTTAAAGCATTTGCTCGTCACGCTGAAGACCCGGGTTTGATTCCCCACATGGGTACATTGTGTGAAGCCCATTTCTGGTGTCTACCTGCCGTGATATTACTGGGACATTGCTAAAAATGGTGTGAAACAAAACTCACTATAACCACACACGAGTCAGGCCTAGAGTACCAGTGCATGTGTCAATGGTGTGTGTAGTCAGCTGTGTGTGTTCCAGTGTATGTGTCGATGGTTGTAGTCAGCTGTGTGTGTTCCAGTGCATGTGTCGATGGTGTGTGTAGTCAGCTGTGTGTGTTCCAGTACTGGTGTGTCTAATCAGCTGTGTGTGTTCCAGTACCAGCTGGATGCCTCCATGTTGGAGATCTACAATGAGACAATCCGGGATCTCCTTAGTGAGGAAGATATGAAACACGAGATCAAGATGACGGGGAATGGCAGCACCGAGACCATCGTCAGCAACCTCACAGTCATCTCCGTCCAAACAGAATCTCAGGTAGACCTCATGAACGTTTTGTTAGAAGTCTGACTCTGTTTGTCATCGCTGTCTGTATGTCTGGGACAGCCTACAGTCACACCACATGGTGAAATCAGTGTCCGAAATAACTGCCTGACCGCCTGCCCATGGCTGGAAACTTTTGTCGGGCTGCATGAAATCTTCCTCTACCTGCCTGACAGTCTGGCAGATAATTTGAAGACTACTTGCATAAACAGTATTCAGGTTTATCATAACTCCTTGCAGATTCTCAAGTAATTGTTTGCATTATTTCAACTGGATCAAGTCACCATTTGTCTCATATTTTTGCGATATTTCAATATTCATACTGCATGAATGCGGGCAGGTAACTTTGAAGATGGGCAGGCAACATTTAGGGGTCACCTGCACGACTGTCTTGTTGGGTTTTAAAGTTATTTCAATCACTGGGTGTGAGTATAACACTGTATCTGTCAGTCCAATAGCTCCTTGTTCACCTTCTAAACATGCGGTGTCATTCAAGTGTTGGGGTAAAATTATGGAAATAAAATGTTTACAAACATGTCCATGCATGTTTATTTTCCCTGTGGGGATTCCATCTTAGAATATATCCCCAGCAACCTGTGCTGGTCATAAGAGGCAACACAATACTGGTCACTGGATTGTCTGGCCCAGATTCGATTTTTTTTTTTTTTTTTTTTTTTTTTTTTTAACCGGTTGATGTCAAATGGCTGCAATATTGCTGTGTTTGACAACACACAACAAACTCAAGTCATATCACTGCATAGTTTGGATTTTTACATCATCAATATGTTCATCTCAATAGAATGAAAATGCTTAGGGCAAAGTCTTGTTCATGTTATGTTTGTATGTAAATAATCAAGTCTGGACCAGACAATCCAGTGATTGACATCATGAGCATTGATCCATGCAATTGGGATACGATGACATACAACAACCAAGCCAACGAACCTGACCATCCGATCCTGGTAGTCTGCCTGCTCCAGACTCGATTATTTACAGGCCCCCATCATATAGCTGGAATATTGCTGAGTGCGGTGTTAAACAACAAACACTGGCCTACCAGAAACCTATCAGTGTGGGTTCAAAAACCTGCTGAGGTTTGTAGGTTTGTCAGCACCATACCTATGCCCGTGGGTTTTTTGTCCCCCACCAAAGTGTCATACCCTGACAGAGCTTAAATTAAACTGAACTCACTCACTCAGTGAATATTTCCAGATCCACAAGTTGTTGAAGAAGGCGACACACAACCGTGCCGTGGCAGAGACCAGGTGCAATGAACGATCATCTCGGAGTCACTCCGTGTTCCAGCTCAAGTTGAGGGGCAGCAATGAGTTGACAGGGGAGAACTGTTCAGGTGAGGGGAGAACTGTTCAGGTGAGGGTAGCAATGAGTTGACAGGGGAGAACTGTTCAGGTGAGGGTAGCAATGAGTTGACAGGGGAGAACTGTTCAGGTGAGGGCAGCAATAGGTTGGCAGGGGAGAACTGTTCAGGTGAGGGGAGAACTGTTCAGGTGAGGGTAGCAATGAGTTGACAGGGGAGAACTGTTCAGGTGAGGGCAGCAATAGGTTGGCAGGGGAGAACTGTTCAGGTGAGGGCAGCAATGAGTTGACAGGGGAGAACTGTTCAGGTGAGGGCAGCAATGAGTTGACGGGAGAACTGTTCAGGTGAGGGCAGCAATAGGTTGGCAGGCGAGAACTGTTCAGGTGAGGGGAGAACTGTTTAGGTGAGGGCAGCAATGAGTTGACAGGGGAGAACTGTTCAGGTGAGGGCAGCAATGAGTTGACAGGGGAGAACTGTTCAGGTGAGGGCAGCAATGAGTTGACAGGGGAGAACTGTTCAGGTGAGGGGAGAACTGTTCAGGTGAGGGGAGAACTGTTCAGGTGAGGGTAGCAATGAGTTGACAGGGGAGAACTGTTCAGGTGAGGGCAGCAATGAGTTGACAGGGGAGAACTGTTCAGGTGAGGGGAGAACTGTTCAGGTGAGGGGAGAACTGTTCAGGTGAGGGTAGCAATGAGTTGACAGGGGAGAACTGTTCAGGTGAGGGGAGAACTGTTCAGGTGAGGGTAGCAATGAGTTAACAGGGGAGAGCTGTTCAGGTGAGGGCAGCAATGAGTTGACAGGGGAGAACTGTTCAGGTGAGGGGAGAACTGTTCAGGTGAGGGGAGAACTGTTCAGGTGAGGGTAGCAATGAGTTGACAGGGGAGAACTGTTCAGGTGAGGGCAGCAATAGGTTGACAGGTGAGAACCGTTTAGGTGAGGGGCAACATTGTCTTACTGTGTTTATACTACAATGTTTAGGACAGACTATGTCTTGAAAATGGTCTTGCTTGTAACAGACAACCCAGGACCAGGACCCACTGGGACACTGCTGCTGATCTTGTAGCATTGCTCTCTGGTTGTCGTGTATGCAGACAAGTGTCCTAACAACAATGTCTAAGATTCTTCTTTTTTCACTATGTCAGCACCGTACCCATGCTCGTAAGTTTCACAAAAGTGGTAAATGTCTGGGACATGCATCACTTCAAGTGGTAGAGACTAACACTTTTAGTCCACTTGTCCTTATAATGATAACATATAGCAAAACCTTTAAAAATGGCAAATTTCTACTTATGACACCTTAACTATTGGGCAGTTTGGCAAGGACTACAGGACATGTGCCAATTACTAATGCTGACTTCAGGCTTTCCTCAGCTCCCTTTTTTTCTAATCTTGCCTACAATTTGCTGGCACAATGTTTGTCCTGGGAATGTTGACCAGAGATCTGCTTCCTTCTCCCACCAGGCATCCTGAGTCTGGTGGACCTGGCCGGCAGTGAGAGGGTCAAGGACTCCGGGTCAGAAGGTCAGAGACTGAAGGAGGCACTTGCCATCAACAAGAGTCTCAGTAACCTGGGCAACGTCATCATGGCGCTAGGCAACAAGGTAGGTGCTCCCTTTCAACAAAACTCCCTAAGGTCACCGTGGCACCTGTTATGTGAACAGCAACACTCAATACAAATGAAATATATATGGGCTTCAGTGAAAGTGTCATGATCAAAAAGAGACCGCCTCAGTGGTCAAGTGGTAGAGGGTCCGCCTGGAGAACGGAAGGTCCAGGGTTCGATCCCCGGCCGCGTCATACCAAAAGACGTTAAAAGATGGTACTTGTTGTTACCCTGTCTGGCGCTCGGCATCAAGGGCTAAAACAAGGACTGGTCGGCTCGGAGTCAGTATACTGTGTCTGAGTGGGGTATTCATGTTAAACTGCAGCATGGTATCTCAGTGTGCTAGCACTATAAATCGGCATCAGTGCGGTCTAGTACAAGCAGCCACACACACACACACACACACATGCATGCACGTCGCTTTATAAGTGCAATAATCTTGGACGCGACGTTTAACCCAATTTCACCTCACCTCACCTCATCATCAAAAAGACACCAGATTTTAGCATCATAAGGCATTGGAGGCAGTGAAAATCATTTGAAAGAGAATGGAATGTGATGCTCACTCTGCCATGTCTTCAGCTAGAATTCCCGACATAAGTGTAGGAAGGAGAGTACATAATTATACATATGCTGTCCGAAGATTGGGAACATCACAGCTGGGATGTGAGCAATGGGATGTATTTTGTTGAACTGATTGCCATGTGTGATGTTTGCAGGATAACCATGTTCCGTACCGGAACAGCAAGCTGACGTACCTTCTGCAGAACTCACTGGGTGGCAACAGCAAAACACTCATGTTCGTCAACGTCTCGCCAAAGGAGGAATGTTTCCAGGAGACGCTAAACTCTCTCCGGTTTGCCACCAAGGTGAGACGGCTTGTGCAGATCAGATGTCAGCTATTTATCATTTATCATAATTGGCTTCGCTGTGAGTCTTGGACACTGCATTACATTTTCATGATATTTAGTGTAGGAGAGGTGAACCACAGCGTAAAGGATGTAACATCCACACTGTACAGCACAGCTATTATTGTGCATTTGCTTGCTTTTATAGCTAAAATGGATAGAATTATCATAAAAACGCCCGCATGTTATCAGAAATGAGCGGGCCACTGTAACTTGATAATGCCCTCATATTACTTGACGACGGGCCATAATCACGCCCGTTGTTAGGTGACGTCATAGGATAGGGATAGGTGACGTAACGTTCAATAGTGACGTCATCTGGTTTGTTCTATGATGTTTCCATATTTGTAAAAATGGGTCAGTGACATTCGTGTTGATTGCAGTAAATGTTTCAAAATCGACATTGTTGTTTCTTTTTATTTGATAACAAATTCCATCCATTTTAGCTATAATAACGGCAACGCTATTTTTCAGGGCATTATCATTTGCAGAAGCCCTCGGTCTTTTCAACACTGTTAATGGAAGACCTCGGGCTTCTGCAAATGATAATGCCCTGAAAAATAGCGTTACCCTTATAGTATTGGGAATTTAGAAGACTGGTTAGAAAGTTCACCGAACATGACCTTGGGGATTTGTCAAATCCTGAGTAAGTGGGTTTAACGTCTCTTTGAACATCCTTCCAGTTGTAGCACGGCGTGTCAGATCCTGACCAAGACCTAATATTGAATCACAGTACTAGATTGATCCTTAAATTTTACTGCAGTTACAATGGAATCAACTATGTTATATAATGGGATGCTCAGATTGTGCTCACTAGGATGTAATAGCATGGGAGGAGACCACTGGTCATATCCAACTAGTCCCAGCTTGTTTCAGACTAGTTGATTGTCTGAAGTAACCAGATTTTTTGAGAAAACAACTAGTCTCACTTGATTGTCTCTTGACATGGACTAACATACTAGTGGCCATGTCTCTTTCTGTCGTAAGAGGCGACTAATGGTTGATGCATGTCATCGCATCCCAATTGCGTAGATCAATACTCATGATGTCAGTCACTGGATTGTCTGGTCCAGACTCGATTATTTACAGACCTCCGTCATATAGCTGGAATATTGCATACAAACTCTATGTAGTTTTTTGTTTGTGTTGTAACCTTGTAACCTCTGTCTGTCTGCAGGTGAATCAGTGCAACATCGGCACCGCCCAGAAGAAGGCCAAGTGAACACCTGTCCCTGTGTAACGTTGACAGTACCGAGCCCATGGTGTCCTACAGACAGAAGGCAATAGTAGTGTGACACCAGGTGTCGAGGATCACTACCTCTACTGGATATAGCCTGCAGTGTTGAGGGACTACTGCTTCTGTTTATAACAAGCTATTTATACTGCTGTCTTGGAACTCTGTCCCTGAACTGGGAGGAAACAAGTAGTTACTTTCGGGGGGAGTTTCTGCACCTCCACCCTGTTGTGTTGACGAGTGTCAGGGAATCAGGATAGCTCATGATATTCCTATTCTTGGGTGTCCACCCAACCATCTTCAAGGTCAAAGAATTTTGTGGTCCATATGTCCTCTTTTCTCAAATTTGGCCTGTAACTTGTTAAGACATATGTTCAAATGCAATGACTACTCTCTCAATCTCTTTCCATTCCAACATACTCACGATAGAGCTCAAAGTATCATCACCACTAAGTAAGTTATTCCCCATCAGTCATCAGAAACATCCCTTCACAAGAATACCCCATGTCATGTTTTAACCCAGTTTGGTTTTAGCTGTAAATATATTCAATGTTGTCTTTGTCTGTCCTTCATCTTGTCCTCCACATCTTGTCTCTCGATCTCCTTCCTGTCTCTCCTTGCTCACTATGTACTTTCTTGTGTACAACTAGCTTACCGGAACTCTACATGAATGTGAGCTTACAGCCTGAAAACTGTCAGCATTATCACATCTAGTAACACTCCTGCCAACTTGAAACAAGGTGAAACCCCCTTTTTAGGATAATCATACTAATTGGTCTTGTACATATCAATAAAATTGGGTGCAATTGTGAGATAACTTTAGTTTGTAAGGTCTTGGTGCTGACGTTATGAAAGCTGGTCATTTAGCCATTCCTAGAAGTATAACAGTATATGTGTTAACTTGGCTCTTGGTTCATTACCAAGTTAATGTTAATGTCGGTAGAATGTCATTGATGAGCATAACCCTTGTATAATGAGTAGGTATTAATGGAATGAAATTCTTCATGTCATATAGCTGAAGTTTTCATTGTGAACATGATATGATTTTGTTTGTGCACAGAACGTGTTCATGGGAAATGTTGTTTTACTAGGAAATGTAGATTAATGTCATAAGATCTTCTACTTCTGACCATACAAGGATTCAACAGTGGATGTTGCCCATGGAACCAATTAACGTTGACGCTGACAGTGCTATGTTCCTCCACCAGAATACATTGGGTTGCTGTACTAGTGCAGAAATATCCCCGCAGAACAAGCACATTTACTAGTGATGTGTTAGTGAGCATTTTTTGTTTGTTAACTACATTTCCATTTCCGGAATCTAGGTACCAGCATGGGGGGGGAGTTTTACTGAAGTATAATACAGTCATCATGTCAGTGTGGCACAAAGTGCATGAATGGGTTATAGACCTGTCATATGAAACCATTTATCTGTGGATTTTAGTGTCAGTGTATTTACATTTCATTGTGAAAACTGTCTTTGTAATTACTTTGTTGTGGTTATTTTAGGGAGATATGTTTCTTATCATGTACATAGACTAAATATATTAAATATAAAATGTAGTTTTCTGCACATGGCTTCTTCTTTTCTTGTTGTTTGTTGTGTGATGATTGGGTGTGGCTGTCAGGGAGCAGTGAAACAACTATCACTGCCCGACCCACGTCCGTGGCATAGTGGATACAGCGTCATCCTGTAGAGAGAGCTAGCTCGGGGTTGGGATCCCCTGGCCTTGCCTCAAAAGATTTTGTTTAACTTGCTATATGACGGCAGTCTGTACCAGTGATTGATATCATGAGCATCAATCTACGCAACTGGGATACAATGACATGCCCCCTCACCTTACCGGGGGCACAGGTGGCCCAGTCGTCTAAGTCGCCGCGATATGCTGTGCAGAGTTGCGTCCCTTGGGCACGCCAGAAACCTATGATTGTGGGTTCGAATCCCGGTTTGCCCCTATTATGTTTCTAGGTTTGTCAGCACCATACCCATGCTCGTGGGTTTCACCGAAGTGGTAAACGTCTAAGACCTGCATCACTTCAGGCTTTCCTCCCACATTAAGCTGACACGTCGTGATATGACTGGAATACTGTTAAAAGCGGCGTTAAACCCAACTCACTCACTCTCGCTCAAGACATGAGTGCAGGTTGAAGACATTTACTAGTTTGGGGGAACCCACATACACAGGTTTGGTGTTGACAAACCAAAGAGCATATTCGGCTTAAAAAAATGAAAGAATTGGTTCTCAGGCAATGACTTTTGAAAATATAGCGGGGCGGGTGGTGGTTTTCTTTGCTTGTTCAAACTAGTATGTAACCAACATACAGAAGTTGCCTCCCAACATAAACAAGCATACAAACTCCTATTGCCGCCAAGAGATGTGCAGTAAAGCAGTGCACATGTAAAGGGAAGTAACTGCATGCTATATTGGATTGCATGGTTTTTAAGTATTAGGATTATTTTTTTATTTATTTTTTTAAATGGAAATTAAAACAAAAATGTGCAGCAGACATTATGATCATGCGGGCGGTGCTCGAGAACCAAGCCTATATCTTTTAACCTTGGGATTCAAATGGACAGCAGATCCTGGCACAAATCTGTCTTAGGCCCTCAATACTTAAGGGTATATTGTTATTGAAAAAATGTTTTCAAAATAACAAGAATCAAGGTTAAAGATTCACATTTTATTCACAAAATATACATCAATGCTCTGAACATGGTGTGTTGGAGTGAGATGACTATAATAAGACAGGGCTTCTACAGGGCTACGATGGATGCCGTCACAGCAACCGCATCCATCGACTCCATAAGAACAAGCAAATTATTCCATGCGCTACCACTAAACCATACAAACTTCATGCTAATCTCGCTACTGTCTCAGCTCGAAATTTATTAGAAAAAATCATTTTACAAAATTTGATAAAAATCGTACATTTCATAAAAAAGATAACTTTAAAGATCAGTCTCTAAATGTCTAAAAGACAAATTTAAAAAGATGAATATTGGCTGTTTACAATGACTTGTGGAGTTTGATATGTTTGAACAGTTTCGACAACACTCAACATTGATGAAGGATGTCCATATGACACTGTTCCCATGACAACAGGTTGTCCGATTGACACTGATCCCATGGCTACACACGTCGGGGTATGACATGAAACATCTGTTGTTGCTATGACAACCAGCAACATGTTGACAATGACTGACAATCACCAATTCAACAAAACAAGAAGTCACGACAACTTAGAAATAATATGTCCATCCTGCTCTGCCTTTCTCAGACTCAATAGTTACCATGGCAACTGTGACCATATTGTTCAACAGTCGGGCTTTAGCGACTTGCCTTATGCCCCAGTCAAGCAGAAATTCAAGAAAGTCCAGGTGATAAAACCCAAAATGTACAGATTAAAATCTAGTGAAAAAGACACTGAAAGGCAAAATTTAGGATTACAGACAAACATTTTGGGTAATGGGACCAGACAACCCATTCTAAATTATTATGAAATGCTTGGCACATTGATACAAGGCCAACCTGTCAAAAATATGACTTTGATTTCATGTAGACTGGTTTCTTGTCTAGATGGGTCTTCTTCCCACTTGATGTCCCAGGAGCAGTGAGCGAGTGAGTGAGTATGGTTTTACGCCGATTTTAGCAATATTCTAGCAATATCACGGCAGGGTACACCAGAAATGGGCTTCACACATTGAACCTATATGGGGAATCGGAATCGGACCTTTCCGCGTGATGAGTGAACACTTATACCACTACTACACTGTTACTTTGGTGATATACATCGCCATCAAGAACGTCCAGAATGTAGAGTGTCCAGACAAACAAGGTTTCACTGTATCAAGTGCAGTTCAACAAGTGGAGTGCCGAAGTGAGACATAACGCCGATCATACTACCAGAAGGTCACATAACCTTAAAATATATTTCGGAAAGGAAGAACGAGTAAGTGGAATCTGAGTGGGAGGTTTTGCTGTCTCTCTGATGTGCAGCGGGACGCCTCCACCACGGACAGATCATAATACAAGACTCTTTGACTGAACTCCTAAACTTCCATTAACAAAGCATAATAAGTGACAGGTGTGCATCATGATATTTGTAACATTTCCACAGGTATATTGTGTGTTCTATAACAGACAAACAAACGTGTACAAGGAGTACATGACGACATGACGTGACGACATGACGGTTGACTTGGTGCATGAGGTGAGACAGCTGCTATATGTAGGATGATCCTAACTGGGTTGCTTCCAGTCCACGCTGGAAATGAATCCCTTCCAGGCCATGTGTGAGTCATGAAAGATGATACATATCTACCTAGATGATGTACGGTGCAAGAGGTGATTGTGAAACTGCTTCCGTAAGTTTTTTTAAATTTTTTATTTTTTTAAAATTTTTTGCTTCCAGAAGTTGCCTTAATAAAAGAATTGAACTAAGTAATCAATTCAAAGTTCCTTATATATTCAAAATCAATCATGTGAATGATTTTTCATTATTAAAAATGTAAGATCAAGATGTCGCTAAATATTGTTTTCCCGACAACAAACAAACACACCACAGTCAGATGTCTCCATCAGGCACTGATAGGAACACTAAATCGAAAGCTTAAATCTGATCAATTGAAGACTTCATTTCCCCAAATCATGTGGAAACTTGATTCTGTATATAACGTATGTCTCGACAAGCCTGCTGCTACAACTCAGGTATTTGTGTCTGAAGGGAGATAACTGGTGTGGGCATGGTACAGAGACATTATGAGGTAGATGATATGTCATGGTGGTCATACAGGGGTATATACGCAGGCACATATATACTTACAGAAACACAGGAATTACACATCAGTTGTTAATGGAGAAATGAGACATCGAGCTATGTATCGTCAAGCCCGAGGTGGGATGGTCGCACGACACACATACGGGACTGATACCTTTGTCACTACTTCCCAGGTTTGTATACACCAAGTTCCTTCAGCAACCACAAATACATACCAGCTGTGTTGTATATATGTAATTTTGGACCAGTAAATTTAGTTCCAGGTCAATGACAGTTCAGATTACATCAACATCATTGCTTCAATTTCAGGCAATGGTTTACACAAAATTCCAGCCATTTTGGTGGCCAAATACAACTCACATCTATGATTGGCGACTTAAATTTATCTACTGCTCGCCACTTGGCTTCCTAAAAGTAAACATAACTGGCGAAAATATTTATGTTTAAGATATGTTGGCTCCTAAAAAATTAGGTTTGGCTCCTAAAATATTCATGTTAGGATCCACTTGGCTCCCTAACAAAAAGACGAACTTAGAAAGCTGCACTCACGTACTGAGCTCCTTTGACTCGGTCTTGTTTCATTACAGGACTAAAGAGACAATGCACAACTTACAGCACCGTGTGTATCTGTGTGATGGAGGAACATGGTGTACACAGACCATAGATTCCTGGGAACCTTCAACACAGACACGTCACTGTCACAACCTCATCAGTATATGGGCTCAAGGACAGCCGATAATTCTGTTCTCGGAGACAGAAATGGAGTCATCACATCACTGACTGTGACAATTGCTGGGCTACAGAAGCTCTCACCATGTACAGAGGTGTCACAAAGATGAGATTGTCAGGATTCAAAAATATTTGACTTCTAACACTTCAGATACTTGGCAATGGAAATACTACACTGTAAAACTGATACAAACTTGGACCACTTACAATACCATAAGCAATAAATACCAATGATTATGTTATACCTCTGTATGGAATGCAGTATATTGCTGATATCCCTATAACCAATGCCTGTGACCCTGTGCCTGAACACTAGGCCTGTGACTGAGCACAATGATAGTGACTGAACACAATGCCTGTGACTGAGCACAATGATAGTGACTGAACACAATGCCTGTGACCCTGTGCCTGAACACTAGGCCTGTGACTGAGCACAATGATAGTGACTGAACACAATGCCTGTGACTCTGTGCCTGAACACTAGGCCTGTGACTGAGCACAATGATAGTGACTGAACACAATGCCTGTGACCCTGTGCCTGAACACTAGGCCTGTGACCCTGTGCCTGAACACTATGCCTGTGCCTGAGCACAATTCCTGTGACTGAACACAATGCCTGTGACCCTGTGCCTGAACACTAGGCCTGTGACCCTGTGCCTGAACACTATGCCTGTGCCTGAGCACAATTCCTGTGACTGAACACAATGCCTGTGACCCTGTGCCTGAACACAATGCCTGTGACCCTGTGACTGAACACTAGGCCTGTGACCCTGTGCCTGAACACTAGGCCTGTGCCTGAGCACAATTCCTGTGACTGAACACAATGCCTGTGACCCTGTGACTGAACACAATGCCTGTGACCCTGTGACTGAACACAATGCCTGTGACCCTGTGACTGAACACAATGCTTGTGCCTGAACACAATTACAATTTGCCTGAGAGGCTGACATACAGAAGAGACTTAAATCAGATAAAATATGGTCTCTGATGAAGGAAAGAGCATGTGTTTTTGTAATGATCCTATACAAGGCCATCACCAGTTTTTCATTGACCTAAGCAAGGAAAAAAATTTATCCATAGGCAACTTATAGAATTTTATGGCACTGTGTCCGATACATCAGAAGTTATCACTAACTATGGTTCATCCATAAGATGTCGTCATGAGTTAAGCCTGCACTCTAAGGTACAGACTATCGGCTGTCCTGGACTTGCTGCTAATTACTTGATAAGCTGCCTGTTTAAGTGGCCAGCTACTGGTGAACCAACCCAGGAAGTCCGCACATGTTCTCGTTCCACACCAATGGATCTTGCCACATGTCAGGTAGAGTTCATTCCCACATGTCTGGTAAAGTCTATTATGATGTGGGTGGACAGGGTAGGTCTGAACCTCACCCTCCAGGTGTACTGCCAAAGGTCACTATAATGGGGTCAATCAGGAGGTTCCTACTTCAGGGGCAGTTGACCAGTAGCAGTGGCTCTCTAGTACTGTCCAGTACAGCATTGACCACAGCACACGACTTGTCACCAAATCAGCTGATACACTTAACAGCACTACGTAATTCCACATAAGCCCATGGTGATGACCTGAACGTCGAGCAATACCAGTACCACTCAACATGAATACCAGTGATGTTCCTGGAGGAGCGTTCAGTCATAGATGTTCCTGGAGGAGCGTTCAGTCTCAGATGTTCCTGGAGGAGTGTTCAGTCACAGATGTTCCTCAAGGAGTGTTCAGTCAGAGATGTCACTTAGCGAGTGTTCAGTCACCAAAGCAGAAGCATTAATGAGATGCTTTCAAAATGTAAGACAGTGGAACATGTATGTGATGAGATGAAGCATTACCTGTGACAAGACAAGGCGTTACCTATGCTGACACACAACCACGATACAGTTAACAATCCACTGGAATACAGCAACACATGAATGTCCAACTGCTAAGCATCTTTCAGCCCTATACTATCAGATTCCAGAGAAGTAATAAAGATACTGGTGACATTCTCAACATGCACTGCACTTCATGCCTAGAATGGACTTGTTATCAAATATAAGAGTGTTCACTAGTAAGTAACAGACATTAGACAACCATCAGCTGTTTTGTCTTCCAAAACTAGTGAAAGATTAGAATAGTATTTCTATTGAAAATATGTTTATTTTGTTGCATAATATAATATTGAATATTGAATATTTGCTACTACCACCAAGATCTGCACTTAACACTCTGCCTGATATGATTGGTTTACAATATGTTGAGAAGAATTCACTTGTAAATCTATTTGCAGAGGATGCCTGTAAGAGAATGCCCTTTTGTATAATGCTAGAGGTGTTCGTATCATGGCAGACTTTTGACATCATGTTTTGTGATCAAACAATAAAGAGATATCTTGAGACACTAATCTTGCATCCATTGTATTTGTTCCGATGGCATAAATTGATAAATAAACTATCATTTGGATGCCCTGTTTTTCTGGCAAACAATCTAAATTTCTGGCAATGTGTTAAACGTTTAAAATTAATGCCCACATCAGAGTGTCACCTCCCTCCCTCAGTGTCCATCCTGACCTTCACCAAGGACCTTGACATCTTGTGACCTTAACCTCATCCCCAAGTGTTCTGACATTTTTGTCTAGTGACCTTGACATCATCACTAGTGACCTTGACCTTGTCATCCGATGACCTGACCTTGTCACCTAGTGACCTGACCTTGTCATCTGATGACCTGACCTTAGTGACCTGACCTCACTTCCACTAATCTGTCATAGCCATGCAATAAGTCCAATGCTACTCACAGTGCCATGACTGCTTTGAGGAGGGAAGCCAGGGAGATCTTGTAATTGAGAAAACTATCTTCCCAACGACTACATATACTAGTAAGACAAAGGAACTACTACCCTGATGACTACACAAGGTGATATCAAGGACACTTCCCCGATGAGGATTTGTGACAGTGCGTAGGTTATGTGCCCTTGTTTAGTGCTCTTTCTGGTTGTGGAGTTCCTTGCTGGTGGAGTTGGTGCGGCGGATGGAGACGTTCTTACAGCCCACCAGGTGATAGAACAGGTAGGTGATGAGTGCAAACATGGCCCGGCAGCCCAGTAGGATAGATGCATTGCGAGACAGACTCCCCGTCCACAGCAGATGAAGGCCTGTAACTGTACACGCAACACAGGTTAGTCGGAACACCTTACAGGACATCCTACAGCGCATACACATGAGGTCATACAGGACATATTGACAGCAGTTCAACATGGTGTATACACGAAGCCCTACAGGGTATACACCAGAGGCCCCTACAGAATATCATACACAACCCCTACATGGTGTATACACAAAGTCCTACAGGGTATACACAAGAGGCCCCTACAGAGTATCATACACAACCCCTACATGGTGTATACACAAGGCCCTACAGGGTATACACAAGAGGCCCCTACAGAATATCATACACAACCCCTACATGGTGTATACACAAGGCCCTACAGGGTATACACAAGGGGCCCCTACAGAATTTCATATACAAGGCCCTACAGGGTCTACACATGATGCTATGTCATGGTATGGCAAATATGAGATAACTCATGTCCTGGTATGCCAAAAATGAGATAACCCTTGTCCTGTTATGCTTTATCTAAGGTAGCCCATGTCCTGGTATGCCATATCTTAGGAAATAACAGCGATCCCCTCTCATCTTCTTCTTGTTTGCTCTTACGACAAGCATGAGGTACTGGAGACCTATTCTGACCTGGAATCACTGCAGGACGACAAGCATGGGACACTGGAGACCTATTCTGACCTGGAATCACTGCAGGAGTACAAGCATGGGACAATGGAGACCTATTCTGACCTGGAATCACTGCAGGACGACAAGCATGGGATGCTGGAGACCTATTCTGACCTGGAATAACTGCAGGAAGACAAGCTTAGGTTACTGGAGACCTAATCTGACCTCGAATCACTGCAGGACGACAAGCATGGGACACTGGAGACCTATTCTGACCTGGAATCACTGCAGGAAGACAAGCATGGGACACTGGAGACCTATTCTGACCTGGAATCACTGCAGGACGACAAGCATGGGACGCTGGAGACCTATTCTGACCTGGAATAACTGCAGGAAGACAAGCTTAGGGTACTGGAGACCTAATCTGACCTCAAATCACTGCAGGACGACAAGCATGGGACACTGGAGACCTATTCTGACCTGGAATCACTGCAGGAGTACAAGCATGGGACACTGGAGACCTATTCTGACCTGGAATCACTGCAGGAAGACAAGCTTAGGGTACTGGAGACCTAATCCGACCTCGAATCACTGCAGGACGACAAGCATGGGACACTGGAGGCCTATTCTGACCTGGAATCACTGCAGGAAGACAAGCATGGGGTACTGGAGACCTATTCGGACCTGGAATCACTGCAGGACTACAAGCATGGGGTACTGGAGACCTATTCGGACCTGGAATCACTGCAGGAGTACAAGCATGGGACGCTGGAGACCTATTCTGACCTGGAATAACTGCAGGAAGACAAGCTTAGGGTACTGGAGACCTATTCTGACCTCGAATCACTGCAGGAAGAGAAACATGGGACGCTGGAGACCCATTCTGACCTGGAATCACTGCAGGAGTACAAGCATGGGACGCTGGAGACCTATTCTGACCTGGAATAACTGCAGGAAGACAAGCTTAGGGTACTGGGGACCTATTCTGATCTGGAATCACTGCAGGAAGAGAAACATGGGACGCTGGAGACCTATTCTGACCTGGAATCACTGCAGGAAGACAAGCATCGGGTACTGGAGACCTATTCTGACCTCAAATCACTGCAGGAAGACAAGCATGGGACGCTGGAGACCTATTCTGACCTGGAAGCACTGCAGGAAGACAAGCGTGGGGTACTGGAGACCTATTCTGACCTGGAATCACTGCAGGAAGACAAGGATGAGACACTAGAGACCTATTCTGACCTGGAATCACTGCAGGAGTACAAGCATGGGACACTGGAGACCTATTCTGACCTGGAATCACTGCAGGAAGACAAGCATGGGACACTGGAGACCTATTCCGACCTGGAATCACTGCAGGACGATAAGCATGCAACACTGGAGACCTATTCTGACCTGGAATCACTGCAGGAAGACAAGCATGGGGTACTGGAGACCTATTCTGACCTGGAATCACTGCAGGACGACAAGCATGGGGTACTGGAGACCTATTCTGACCTGGAATCACTGCAGGACGACAAGCATGGGGTACTGGAGACCTATTCTGACCTGGAATCACTGCAGGAAAACAAGCATGGGGTACTGGAGACCTATTCGGACCTCGAATCACTGCAGGAGTACAAGCATGGGACACTGGAGACCTATTCTGACCTGGAATCACTGCAGGAAGACAAGCATGGGGTACTGGAGACCTATTCTGCCATTCTGCTATTCTGAGTTTGATAAAAGGGAAATGATTATGTAAAGATTGCAATATTTTTTACATAATTCACAATTTCACAATTTTAAATCGAATATAACTTTCCACTTGTAATCTTGAATTCCATTTTATCAAATTGGTCAATAGTCACAAGAACACTCATAGAAAAATCAGTTAAACCAAAACTATTTGACCTACCATGACATAAAAACAGCTGACCTGAAACACATGCATTTTTGGGGGGGGACCTCAAAGTACAATGCACTCTTCTTCAAACACACACATGTGTACACATAAACAAACACTGTGTTGTTGATCACAGGACCACCCTGCTGGTGACACACATATTCCTACCACTACAGTCTACAATGTGGTAGGATAAAACAACAAACAGAAAGACAATCTGCGATTTCATCAACAAAACTGTGTTGTGAACATCTACTTGTGAACACAGGGTACCATGCAGGAAGCACACATTGGAGAACAGAGGAAAATGAGTTATCTCCCCTTAACTGGAAGGTCCCAAACTTGGAGGCCAAAGGAAAAACATAAAACAGTAACTGGCAGTATCATAGCCCTGATACCACAGCGGTTATACCATTGCTATAACGCCCTAGTGATGAGGGGGATACCCCATATAAGTTGTATGGTATAGGATCAACAATGTGCTGTGCAGAGTTACACCCCTTAGACATGCCAGAATCCTGTGATCATGGTTTCGAATCTCTGATTCACCCTGTTTGTGATGCTTGGTGTGAGGGTGAGTGAGTTAAAATTTAATGTAACATTGGCAATAGCATGATGCCTGGTGTATCAACACCTTACCTTTTGTTTGGTTTCCCCGAAATGTCGCAGACTGACACCATTTCTACACACCGTGATGTAGGATACTCACTCGCTTGATCGCTCACTCACTCGCTCGACCGCCCACCCGCTAGCCTGCCCGCTCACCCACCCACTCACTCATCCACTCTCCCACCCACTCACTCACTCACTCACTCACCTACTCACTCACTCACTCACCTACTCACTCACCTACTCACTCACTCACTCACTCACTCACTCACTCACTCACTGATGTCCGTTGATCCCTAGCCTGGTGGTACTTGACGGGATCGGCTTGAACCAATTTCTGTTTTATGTCTTTTACTATTACCCAGTATTGAAAGTAAATTTTGTAGTAAAAGTCACACTACTTTCCTGAAGTTCTCAGACTATCTGTACTGGCAAGAGCTGAGCGGAAGCAACTTCATTACAGCATGAGAAGAATGTACGAAATCAGAAACCAAAACACTAGAGTACAGCGAGAAACAGAAATTATCTATCAAAATTCATCTACATAAACAAAGCGAATCTCTACCATCTTGAAATAATGTGATGGAAATGTGTAGAACTCATCATGCACAGAATTATGTTAGTAACCATAGTAACAGTTCAGACTTTGCTCTAGACTGGATCTAGTCTCCCAAAATAACACACTTAGGTATGGAATGTTCTGCATTTTTTAAATATATGGAACCATTTACAAAAACAAATCCATTTAACGTGTAATGGAATAAAGGTGCAAGATCACAATTTCCGGATTTGGAATTTCTAAATTGGAATTCTGTAAGATGTAATATATTATATGAATTTAATAACCCATGCAAAGATATAAGGCGTTAAACAAAAGTGAAATCCAGTCACTGCTATCAAATAGAAGCTGACATGTTTCAGATTGGAGAGAAACATAAATCTCTCGGGTAACATTTTCTTTATGTGATCCACAGTAATTACCACAGACTGGCTTCAGGAGATAGAAGGGATTCATAATGTTTGTTTGTTTGTTTGTTTGTTTGTTTGTTTGTTTGGTGTTTAATGCCGCACTCAGCAATATTCCAGCTATATGACGGCTGTCTGTAAATAATCGAGTCTGGACCAGACAATCCAGTGATTGACATCATGAGCATCAATCTACGCAATTGGGATACGATGACATGAATCAACCAAGTCAGTGAGTCCGACCACCCGATTCCGTTAGTCGCCTCTAACGACAAGAATGGGTTGTTGAAGACCTATTCTACCCGGGTTGGGGATTCATAATAAAGGTCTTTTTCGGGATATTGCTGTGAAAACTTTAAATCATCACTGAATGAGAACAGATTTGTTTAATGTCAGATCAAAAAGAAAAAAATCCTGAAAAGAACCAGAGTTATCAAAATATGCAAATTAGTACATAAATGTATAAAACAAATATGTATATCCGATCTTGCACCTTTAAGAGTACATGATGTATCTATTATAGATCCAGCCTAACCACATGCTCCATACTGCTTCCTACTACTTTATCGTGCTTTATGTGCTTTATGTGCTTAATGTGCTAAATGCTGTACACTGGTGCTGTGAGAGCAGGGAAACTGAATATACACCCCATGCCAGTGAACAAGAAGTGGACAGCGGAAGTCTGCAACAGATTAAGTTTGTGAATTCAGAATTAGAAACTGTGATGACTAGACATATCCATTGCCATGGTTACATCAAGCTGCGGTCACCAGTATGCAGATTATATGTTGTCATGGTTGCAGGGGAACAATACTGTCACCAATTAATTGTTGACTGGTCAGAGCAGATCAATAATATAACCATTTAATAGATATGTTAGTTGTTATGATTTGTAGCAGATCAGCACTGTTAAGCCAGACATGTTCGTTGTCATGGCTACAGGAGATTAGCACCGTCAATGCACCAAA